CAATCTCCTCTTCTTCAGTTTGGTGTAGTGGGAGAGCCAGTTTGGTGCAGTGGTTAAGTGTGCGGACTCTAATCTGGGAGAACCCGGTTTGATTCCCCACTCCTCCACTTGCACCTGCTGATGTGACCTTGGGTCAGTCACAAGCTCTGGCACAGCTGTTCCTGAAAGAGCCGTTTCTGTCAGAGCTCTCTCAGCCCCGCCTACCTCACAAGGGGGTCTGTTGTGGGGAGGGGAAGGGAAAGGAGTTTGTAAGCCGCTCTGAGACTCCTTTGGGTAGTGAAGAGTGGGGTATAAATCCAATCTCTTCTCTTCTTCTGTGATCCCAAATTCTGTTCTGGGCATCACGGTTGTGGGAGGGTTCCTCTCAGAGGATCTTCCCCTCACGCTCATGGGGCTCTTTCGGAGGGGGCTGTAATGGTGGAATCCTCTCATTGGCTTAAAGCAAACGCTGTCCTCTCTCTCAGGCGCTTCAGCAGCACCGAAAATGAGTCGTTTTCATTCCTTTCAGGTGGCAGACCTGCAAGGGAGGCTCCGAGCTTATGAGGAAAAGGGCTCTCCGAGGAACCCCCCCGGACTGGCTCCTCCTGGCCCCGAGCAGGCAGAGCTTCTCAGGTAGGGAAGGAAGGCAGGCAGGCGCTGGCCCTGGCACAAGGCCACAAACAAACCTTGATGTTCGAAGGTCTTCGTTCTCTTTTCCCACTGGATATTAGACCTCTCTTGTTTCAAGATATTTAGGTCTTTAAAGTAGTCTTCCCCCCCGTCACAACCACAAGGGCTAGAAAGTTTGTTTTATTTAGAGAAGAATGTTCTTTAAGATTTTTAGGTATAGGGTTAAGGTTAAAAGTGGAATGTAAATGGATTAATTTGATGCTAGTAGCAGCAAGACAAGTGATAGCAAGGAATTGGAAAGAAGCTGAGGAACTGACGATTAATCATTGGAGGGATAAAATGAATAATATAATAGTCTTAGAGTATCTTACGATGAAGATACATAGAATAAATGGGTTAAAGGTTTGTGAACAGGAGGAGGACTGGTTCAGAAGGATGGCGGGGTATTTGGGAAAGTTTAAAAAATTGGGATGATTAGTCAGTTAATAGGAAATTGAGAGGTTTATTTGATTATAAGATTAAGATGGAAGTTTAATAGAGCAATAGAGTTGTACTTGGATTGATTGTGATATAATACTGTATGGAATTTTATTTATGTATTTATTGTCTGGAGGTAGCACATGGGTGGTGTTGGTGATGGAATGTTTTATGAAATTAAACAATAAGTAAAGAATTATTTTTTAAAAATTTAAGATTCTCAGGGCAGTGAAATCAGAGACACCATTCGGAGCGTCCCTGCCAGTGTTCCCTCTAAGCTGAGTTAGTGTGAGCTAGGTCACAGGGTTTTTTTAGCCTCCGGCTCACGCATTTTTGTCTTCGCTCAGGAAGGACGGCTCTAGAGCAAACTGATTGATGCAGCAGCCAAATCACTCGCTCACC